TTCCGGACTATAAACTGTAAATTGCCGTGATTCGCATAGTGCTACAACCTATTAACGTCATATTAAATAAAATAGACTTTTATATCGAGTTCTTAGGTTTTCGCGATTGTTACACGTAGGAAATGAAACTATTTTTCCGGATTTAAATCGCGTATATTTGTTTTTCCAAACAAACCAGAAAAATAAGGTATTTAATTAATAACTATTGTAACTGTAGTGAAAAAATAGGGTGGTTTGCATTGACTTACAAATAAATGGACGACGGGTCTAATACAAAAACCACGAAAAAATATCCCAAGTCAACCTATTTAAACGTAGTGACATGTAAAGGAATATGAAAAAGCTTTTAAATTGTAATGTCATCGCAGTACTGTCTAATTTTGCTTGCTTCGCTGTCAGTCAAACAAACGAAGACTAAAGCGTGAATGACGCTCTGTATACGATTTTAACGCCCTATAAGTTCGGACACTTTTTAGCGCGGACCCGACGTCCATATAATTGTAAGTCAATGGTGGTTTGCATCAATATTAGACATAACTGGTTGAAGAATGTACCACCTCAGTCAACCGTGACCATGGGACCTGTAAAGGGCCCGAAACGTCGGTTTGTTTCAAAAAACAAATATACGCGATTTAAATCCGGAAAAATAGTTTCATTTCCTAAAAATAGACTTTTGTTATTTTGGAGCCAGTGAAATGACAAATACGGCTGGTGACCTTTTTTTTAAATTCATTTCGTCGGTTTCTTAAAAATTATTTTTCGATAGTGGTCATTTTATTATTGAGGAGTTAATATTTCTCCTTAAGCTTACCACGACAACAGCATGTCCAGGGTTCTCAGCGTCTGTGGCGACATCCTGCAAGGCGGCCATGACTCCGGGCAGAATGCTGGACAGTGTGTCAACCACTTGAGCCTCGAGCTCGGGATCGGCTATGTGGTAGTTTTTATTAGTCAACTTTTTGTGCGTCGCTGTGTGCGCTGTTAGGCAGTGTAGGGCTGCCAATCTGTGAGATAAGAATTGCGGACATTGTAATGTCAATCTTACCTAAATGATGTAAGTGGGCCGCATCCCACAAACAAGTTCACTTAGTGGGATCGAGCGCTAAAGTTAGATGCATGCGTGATTTAAACTATGTATGAATACATTCGAATTCTACGAAAATCGTTGTATCCATAAAATATAACATCTAAAAGAAAAGCATCACTAAAAAAATATATGGTATGGTATGGTATGGTAATGCAACAATGTAAATTTTTATTACTAATTTATTATTGTTAATAAATGATTAAGTTACAATAATAATCGTATTTTGTTTCTATTTTGTGACAACCCTTGCATGTCTGCGTATGACAGCGTGAATACTGGTAAGATCTACACGAGGGGCAATGTCGCCGAACGTCAAAGCGTTGCGCCACTATACAGAAGATATTGTATACTGTGGGTAGCGCCATTACGCAAAAAGAAGAAGAAGAAGAAGTACACTGTGCCCAGACTGTTGTTATTGGATAAATACACAAACTCATTTCCAGTGCTACCTGTTATATTATTGCGAAAAATCTCACACCTCAAACCGTCCGCTATTTGAAATTGGTATGCTTGTTTGAACATACATGTGAAATAACAACAGTGTGCGTACCCTGAGACCTAATGTATATTAACATAAACTTATTAAGTAAGTTAACAGTACCTGTGTTTTTAATTCCAAGTAAGGAAATGTGGAAGAAGTTTTGAAAAAAAAGTTAAATAACTCAACAATGTCACTGTGTAGCCATCACCAAATATTAAACCTTATATCTAAAACACTAAGGCAAATGTTCAATTGTAGTAACAAAATAATAAATGATAACATTATAATATCAAATAAATATATTAAAAAAGTTTTTTAAAATAATAATAAAAGGTCACGAAATGAACTCCCCGCACGATGTACCTTTCTTGCACATCTTGATCACCCTGTGCAACAATCGGCGAGCCCTGAAAACCTTATGTCGATAGGCAAATTCTTTACCCCACGATGGCAAGCATTATGCATTATATATTATCAACATTAAGGTTTGGTGTTATATTCTGGGGAACTTGTAGTGAAAGAGAAAACATTCAAACCCCAAAATAGGTGCCTAAGAGTTATGTGTGGTTGTAACCCACAAAAAGCTGCAAACAAATGTTTATTTTGCTTCACATATTAACTCTGCCCTCTTTATATATTTTTGAAACATCTATATTTGTAAAAATGAACATACATCAATTTATAAAGTTATCAAATGTCAGAGCAAGGCCTATGTGATCACAGTAATTCAACCTATTGTTAACAGTTAGTTATAAAACAGCTTTGTTAAGAAAAAGTATAGTTAGGATGGCACCAAATACATATAATAAACTACCGGAAAACATAAAGAAATGTTATTATTATACTATTAATGATTATCTACATGACAACTTACAATTATTCAATTCAATCACATTTTATATCACATTCTTAATATTTTTAACTTATATCTGACATGAATTGTACATTTTAATATTTCTATGCCGCTTGTTGGCAAAATATGCTGAACTATTTCAATTTTATAATACTTGCGTTTATTGTACCATATTTACAAAAAATAAATAGTATTATATTCTATTTTATGGTGTATGCCATCGACACGTTAAGAAATTAATTTAATATTATATAAAATCTGAATACCTCAATGCTCTTAGTTTCTCAAGCTTGGCAATGTGCACACTGACAAACACAGCCTGTGCTATCAACGGTATCTGAGTCCGTAACAACTTCTGTCTCACAGGCATCTCTAGACTCAGCATCAGGGAAGTCAGGCACTTCATGATGCTTAGTTTTAGCTCCTCAGGGACCACTGCCACTGGAATAAAAATTAACATTATGTTTAAAAAATAAGATCAAAATTATTTTATGTGATGATGAGATGGGCAGATGACATCGCAGGAATTGGGGGTGAACCTGGATGAGATTAGTACTACTGGATTGTGGGGAGTGGCCTATGCCACCAAGTCTCTGTGCCACTGACTTCATCCACTGCTGGTTAGGTTATAGACCCAGCTGTGGGTGAAGTCAGGTTGTATATGATGATGATGATATGTATGTTTTAATGTGATTAGTCAACAACAATGAGAAGGAAAATCAGGTCAGTGCCCCTCAGATCTTTGCGATTTAAAGCTCTTGAGTGGCACTGCAACAGTTATGGACAGGCGTGTGGCTTGCCATCACGCGCACGACTTGTTCGTCCCGTCACTTGATATTATAAAAATAAAAAAGTGAAAAAAAATCTTTGCTTAGGATTTTTTAACGAGTTTTATGATGTAGCGCCACCTATGAGAAATTTATATCTATTATTATTTAGTTTCACTTTTATTGTTAAGCAAAATCAGCATAATTGACTTATTTTTCAACAATAAATAAAAACCAGGTGTTCTGGAATTTCGAAAGTCACGAAACTGTAAATGCGGTACTTTTGCCAAGGAGAGCAGCATAATAGTCTTAAATAGACATAATCCATAATTGGATGTAGTTAAACAAAAAGGTCCAATCCATATCCACTCACTTTCGAGATATGGCAGTTTGAAGTTTAAAAGTGTTTCTCACTCTTGTTTTATGTTCAAAACTTAGTATGATTAGACTTTAGGAACTATTTGGTACAAATAACACATTTTTTGATACTTTTGTGGATTGGACCTTTTGACTTAACTACATGTAATTGTATTAATATACAAGGCTAACATCGACACTAAAGTGTCACAGTGCTACAGGCCATTTAACTGGGTGTAAGCATGCTAAAATAGATATTAAAATATTGAAATATATTATTTCTTTTGAGGTTGAAATATATTATCTCATTACGTGAGTGTTTTAGATAAATAGAACCAAGCACTGCCTATAATTCAAGTATGCCAGAAATATTAATTTTATTTTTAAATTTTCTTCACTGGTTTTGTTTTTAAGAAATAAGACTTTATCATTCTCTTTTCATGGAAGCTTTTTCTTTAACTCCCTAAGTAGAATGTTTCTGTAGCCTAGTGTGAAGAGAGAATGTAGATATGTTTCACATAATGTTTATAAGTGAGGCATGATAAGTTCCATGGTGGAATTATTAGATTAAGATAGTAACCATTGATAGGCTTGTTGTTTGCAACAAGGTTTAGGGAGGGGAAATATCATGTGTTAACTTGTTATAAGGAAAATAGGAAACAGAAACATCTGTTACAATTAGAAACTAGTTTGAAGGGGTTATAAGGGCACATAGGTAGTAGCGGCTCTTAATTTGTTTTGACATACATACCCATCCCTGGTTTTGAATTATCAAACACAAGACCCAACAAGCCACTCTCTATCTGCAAACACATGTCGAAACTGTGAACAGCCACCTTCTCTAGTACCATGCACATTGCATCGGCCATTATTGCTTGCAGCTCATACTTTTTTCTGAAATATCAAATTTAGTTGAAATAAATACCAAGGTAATTAATAACAACCCTACCTGTGAGAAGATAGCTTTGTTTTGTTGCAGGACCATCTCAGATGGTTATTAACTGTTTAATGGCATGGTAATCTCTGTTCAGAACTCTGGCAGATAGAGATTTGGTGGAGAAAATTGTCATAGCTTACAAATTGGGGTATGGCTAGCAAAGTGACATATGGAATACATTTACACACATAGAAGGATGTATGCAAAGGAGCATAGTTCTTTGTTGTGTACAGTTCATAATAACTATAATACAACGTCAATAACCTCTAGTAAATTGTAATCATTAAGACCTTAAAGAAAAGTATTCTATACCTATTAAACTTTTTTTTTAGTTTTTTTTTTGTTTTTAATTACTTCATTATTAGATTTGAAACTAAATTTAAAGATTATTACTTCACAAATTTTATGTTTAAGTAACAAAATTGTACCCTTTTTTGGATTCTAAAATAAATAGTATGAAAGAATGTTCTACTCCCCACACTACGAAGTGAAACCGCCCCCTGACCCTTCCCCACATCTACCTTTTCACATTTTTTAATCAACAATTGTGCTGTAAAAAGTTTTGATAAAATTGTTTAGTCATTTTGTAGAGAATAGAAAAGGTAGAGAATACCTAACAGTATGAAGTCCGCCATTTGTAATGTTTTATGTGCAGTATAGTTTAAATAAATAAATAAATGGCCAAAATCAAATGTATCCTACAACATTGGGGATACAAGGGGCAAAAGAGAACCTCGAACAGTTAGATTACACCTTTAAACATTCTAAGTTATTAAGAGCTTAGATGTATTGTACTTACTCAATTTCATTAGACTTAATGTGGGTAATAAAAGGAAACAACATATATTGTTGCAGGTCCTGAATGACCTCTTTTTTTACCCCTGACAGTTTTTCCGTAAAAGACGCGATGCTCTGAGCTGACGGACGCACCATAACAAGATCGCAAATAGGTTTTATTTTAGAAAATGCCTCCTTTAAATCGGGATTCATGATTGCAACTCGTAAACATGAATGTTTATACACCAGCACTGAAAGTTACCGCCAATAAGTTCAGAAGGTCATGTTTTATATTAGATAACAGTTGGCGGTTAAGGCAAATTAAAATCGTATAAATTAGGGATAGGGAAGTTACAAACACTCGTAAAACTTAAAACACTCGCATGCAATGCACATATTCCAAAAAAGCTAATGTCATAACAATGTTTTTTGTTAAAAGTGGTTGGTATAATCGAAAATACAAGCGAAGTGCCAATACTGGTTATTTTCGTATATATCTTTCTCGTTTACGTATATTGTGTACGCGCAAAGTAAGCACAGGAAGTTCGGTTGGATTAGTGTTGTAGTTTGTTAATATTTTTAAGAAAACAAAATATTTTTTATAAACTTTATACTGTCTTCTTATTTTTGAAGATGACGGAGTAAAATGTCATTTGCGGGCTTAGGGTCGTATTCCAGAACTCTACTCAAAGCTCAAGTCATGACTTGAGAAATACGTCCCTAATGGCAAGGACTAGAGTGTGATTTTCTAGTGCTTTAAATCATACTCAAGTCCTGACTTGAGCATTGAGTAGAGTTCTGGAATAAGACTCTTAACTCTACTCAATGCTCAAGTCAAGGCTTGAGTATGATTCATAGCACTAGAAATCATACTCAAGTCCTTGCCTTTAGGGTCGTATTTCCAGTGCTTGACATCATACTCAAATCCTGACATAAGCATTGAGTAGCGTTCTGGAATACGAGCCTTAGGATAGTATTCCAGAACTCTACGCAATGCTCAAGGCAGGACTTGAGTGTGATTTAAAGCATTACTAGTGCTTTAAATCATACTCAAGTCCTTGCCATTAGGGTCGCATTTCCAGTGTTGAAATCATACTCAAGTCCTGACTTGACCATTGAGTAGGGTTCTGGAATACGACCCTTAGTTTACTGGGTTGCTAGTTTTCATCAAATTTTAAATAGTCATAATGACAGTTTTATCGATAGATTGCGAAAGAAAGTAACGTTTTGCCAAAAATGTCTGAGTTGTGAATATTACGAAGTTCTGATGATTACTAATTGTGTTAAAATAACACACTAACACACTTCTTTATTCCTATTTTGATCGTTGGCCTGCTAGTTTCGAAATAAATTTTTATTCCTAAATACATTTCAATAAAGACAGGTAAATTTGATTATCTATATTGAATCAAAATGAAAAACTTTAAAATGCAGAGTGATTTTTGTAAAGGGGACAGTATGGAGAAATCCGCAACCACATAAGATACGAGGAAACCACCATTAAATTTTTTTGTGAAAACAGTCTTGGTATAGCCAATTTGTTGGTCCAGTGTGAGATAGAATATAATTGAATAAAATTGATCAAATTTGTTTTAGTGCTGATCGACTCCGTTTTGCGAAGGGATCATTTCATTGTATGGGATAAAAATATCGGGACAGTAGAAGTTGGTCAAATGTCTTAAAATATTTTTGCATACAAAAAATAAAATTGTCTATTTTTTTTAATACTAATAGACTCAGTAAAAAAATTGGTACAACAGAAAGTCGTCAAATTTAGTAAAAAAAATTCATACTAAATGAATAACATTTTACTAAATTTGACCACTATAGATGAATAAATGGATAGAGCACTAAACATTTATAATTATATTAAATTATCGAAAAATGTTATTGTTATATCTCATCTCTAGCAAATGCAGGCAACGTAATGAAGCACTCTTTGCACGACGTAAAAAATATATGAATAAATAAATCCCCTTATTTCTCATCATACATTGATCTATTGTTATTTTTATTTTAATTTAATGTATGTGCTCAAACAAAGGCTATTCATCTAAAAGCGAGACTTATAACAATTATTTATTCATGGAAAACCAACAGCTTCAACCATTTAATAAAAACAGAGAAAGAAACATAATGCCAATTACAGGTGTTTACCTATAGTTTCACACAAATTAAATACATAAATTAGTGCACGTCGTTACAAGGTTAAATTGTGTAAAGGTATTTTTATGAACTGTAGGTCACAGGGTACAACATCATCCCTAGATTATTTTTGGGATTAGTTTATTGTTCCTTCAATTCTATTTACGTAGGTATATAATTCGATAATAGAAATGAAAAAAAAATATATTCAAATCAAAAGTAGTTGTTAGTGTGTGTTAGTATTTTTTTATGTGTATGTATGTGATAGAAGGATGGAAAAAAAATAGTCTATCGATGACAGACGCCGAAAGTTTTAATCTTGACATCTGTGAATATCAAGTCATGTTGTGTGGAGTTCGACAGAACCAATATAAATTTTGAAAAACGATAATTCCAGCGTGTATCTGAATGGTTTAAAAAGGTATGGTCAAAGATAATGTCAACGGACTGTCAAAGTCAGGTGTTATTAACTGTCATTGGTATTGCATGAAATGGAAATAAAAATAATTAGATTACTGTAATAAATAATGCTGTAACAAAACTACAAAGTGCAAGAAATAATTCAAAATGTTTTCCCCTGTAAAGCCGCACATTTTACAAAAGTGTTTTAAAATTTTGAGGTTAACTCTATGCCAGTTCAGTAATCTCCATGATTTGAAGAATTTAAATATAGTAAGGACCGTGGAGAAGACCATTGACAACAATACGAGCATTTTCGTAGAGAGTCCTATACATGTGAAGGTGCAGCCGATAGATGTGAACGATCAGAAAGCTCATAACAAGCTTACTATGACGCTGTACAGTCAAGGCAAGGTAACTAGCGATTTTCAAGTGAAACAGAGCTCCAAGCGACTTGAACTTCTGAATAAAAACACTTCATCAGATAGAAATGACGTTTGCTTAATAGAAGTACCTTACCATTTGAAGGTGCAAGTAACGACGACAGAGCATGCATCAGTAGATGTTTCGAAGTTGGAGGGCGAAGAATTCATCGTGAAAACTGAGAAGGGCAATGTGCAGGTATCAGATTTGAAAGCGCGCAATATAAAAGTGGAAAGTTTGGAAGGGCAGGTGAATTCAGCAGGCAGGCTTCAAGCTAATAACATTGAACTAAAAACTGGCTTAAACTCTGGGATCAAATGTAATAACATAATGGCGACCAACCTGTTCGTGACGACACATGCAGGACCTATCCAAGTACGTTCCTGCTATAGTGAAAAGTCTCATTTCACTACCTTAATGGGTAATATAAGACTAGATCATTTGCATAGATCAGTTGTAATTGATGTAATTCAACAAGGCAATCTGCACATCACTAGTTTCAGTGGTAACCTACAAGCCTCACTAAAAAGCGGTGAAGTGTATTTATTAGCTTCTCAGTTGATTGATAAGAGCAGTATTTTCATACATGAGAAGGGCAAAGTACAGTTGTTAATACCGGATATATTGAAGAATCTGCCTGCTACCAATTTGATAGCAGATAAAATATCTGTAGATGACAGAATATTAAAGTTGGGTCGGTTCATGGACGATTCGCATCCTAAGAGGTTTAGATTTGAAAAGGAACCACAAAATGAGCTGCATGTAGTGTGTAAGAATGGCTCTATTGAATTAAAAGAGTCAAAAGTACCATTTGAAGTTACATTGCAGCGTCTTTGATATGACAATATTAAAACTTGCTAGAGTATATTCCTATTTGTTAATGTAGTATGGAGAATATTGTAATTTATTTTGTTTAATATAATTATAATTAATTTGTTAAAGAAATTAATTTTAATATATAATTTTGTTTACTTTGGGATCTGCTTCTTACGCCTAAAGTCCAGTTTAAAGTTTATCTCAATTTATTATTTTATTTGGGACTTTTTAATTAACAATGACAAAGAACAAGGAGTTGGAAGCTCCAGTCAATTTTAAAATAATGAAATATATGTTTATTAATGCTAGGGATCAGAACTGGCAGAATATATTCATTTTAAGGTTCAAATAATACATATAGAGTGGACAATATTTCTCTCTGAAACTCCATAAAAGATATAACAAAAAATAGTATATGCATAATATTTTTACTAAAAATTAAAAGTTTTCTTATATATAGTCTACTGTAGCACAGATTACTTAATAATGAACTGCTAATTCCACATAATAAAATATAACACAAAATATGATACAACAATTGGGGATTTCAGAGGGAGGTACTTTCGGTACTTTCTTGAAGCTCGAGTTCTCTGCCTATTCTCATGTCCGATTATTTATATATTGGTGACCTTTTTAATTCAAAATAAAAAAGCATTTTTAATATATATAGACTTTGTTGAAATTTAAATATTTAAAATATGTTTCATAATATAATGTCTTGTTAAAACATGCAAATAATTAATTTATCAAGTTCTTAGGTTTTCACGATTGTTACACGTAGGAAATGAAATAAATTTTTCAGATCTACTTGCGTATACCAATTTAATTAATTATTTGATTTATTAATTAACATCTGTTATTATTTCATCTTTAATGTTGCGTCTTCCGCTATTCATCTAGCTACTATTTAATATTCTTAGCACTTAGGTTAGATTGTTTCCATAATCATTACCTGTATGCAAAAATCATATTAATAAGTATTAATTAGGAACCTTAAAGCTGCCACAAATATAAAATATAATAACCATCTCATCAAACTTATAAACATTAAAAAGTTATAGTGATGTATTTATGCAGCATTTAGTTTGTAAACAAACTTTTTGAGTGTTATTGTTGACACTGTTATTGTAGTCAATTGTAGTAATAAACTACTTATATATGTTAATTCCTTAATCTGTTAATGTGACTATCATAATAGACTGTATAGATTTTATGTAGAGGTAGCTATAGATCAGTGGTCTCCAATCAGTAAGATTTGATGGAAAATACCACGTACTGGGAGTTGTAGAAGATACAAAATTATTTGGAACTATTATAATATTTTTTTGTGTGTCGCACACGCCAGCACATCAAGCTACACATTGACGTATCTTGTTCCGTTGCACTGGAGGCGATTTTTGAACAAAAATGTGTAGTCTGATGTGTCGTTGTCCGTACATAGGTATTATTCACCTGTGTGCAAGGATTGTCGCGGGTATCTATGGAGACAATTTCGCGTACCGTAAGGTATCTACGCTTACCAGTATAATTGGGAAACACTGTCCTGAACAAATTATTTGCTTTGTGATATTCAGTTATTTGTTGCTAGTCTTTAAACTTGTAAGATCTACACCAAAATAGAATACATGTTATAATTATTGTTATTCATTCGTCTTGTAGATTGTAGATAATAATATTGTTGATATTTCATTATTAAATAATGACACATTAGAACTATCGACTTTTTGTCCAAAATTCTCCAACTTTAATCGAATTCGACATTTGTTTTTATGACTTTGGTAATTTGCTAACGATGTCAGATACCTGGAAATCACAACGACGCGGCTATCGAGCAACTGATGACGACGTGAGAAATCGTTGTTAATTTATTTAATAAACTAATCACTTCCTTAACATTCGTTTGTTTGTTTATTTTTTAAATAGGTAACGTTTAATTGGGTGCAAAGATGAGGCCGGTGTGCGCGGCGGTTGCCTGCGAAAGATAACGAGGCAGTTTATATGCCAGTGCGCGATGCGCGCGCGCTAGTCGACTCCGTCTCGCGTTCGCCGTTGCCCGCCATGCCGGCTTGCGCGCCCGAGTACGCCCGCCTCGCGCGGTCTAACACAGAACTTATCTTCTCACCTCGAGTCAAGAGATGCTCTCATCAGCCTCCTCCTTTCACCGCCCTCCGCCGCTCCTTTTCGTCAACGTTTTCGCTCATCCCTGAGGAGTGCGCCGTCTCGCCAGAGCGCCCGCCGCCACTTCCCCGTTTCATCAGAGTTATTACATGGGGACCCCGAATGATGCTCAAACCGTTCTTCGCTTTTCTCAGCTTTATTTCGCACCCTGCCTGGAAACAAATCCTAGTGGTGCTTCCGACATTGTGGATCGCTGCTTCGCTATTTATCTTCTGGAAGTGTGTTCAGTGGCCAATAGGTGTGCTGCAAACTATCAGCCGTGCCATCAGTTTGAGTAGTGTCAACAAACCTCGTACCGTGCTTATCAGTGGAGGAAGTTCTGTACAGGCTCTACATTTGGCAAGAAATTTCCACTCTGCCGGTGCAAGAGTCGTTGCCTTCGAGATAGAGGGACAATTCTCGTTATTGAAATACTCTGCCGCTGTGAATAAATTTTACACGATAAAGCGGCCAAATCCGGCAGACCCCCTAGCCTACGCACGCGCTCTGAGAGAGATAGTCGAAACGGAATCAGTGGTATTCTATGTACCAGTGAGTTCTACGACCCCCGCCTACTACGATGCGCTAGCGAAACCGCACTTGGAAGTGATAGGGTGCCAGTGTTTTGTGCCTTGTGCTCGTGATGTTGTTACTCTGGATGATCCGTTAGAGCTGATGCGAGTGTGCCGCGTTGCTGGACTAGCTACACCTCAATTTTGGGTGGTAGCGAATGAAGATGACGTCAGAACCTGGTATGAAAGTGGAGCATCGAAGGAAGGTCGCCATTATATAGCTAGCGCCGGGGCTCGAGGTGCCAGAGACCGATTGAGGTTTGTTCTACCTGAAGAGAAAACTCAGTTTCGATTTCCCCGAGAAATAAGTGCTGAGAAACCCTGGGTTATTGTTAGAGAGCCGAAAGGAGAGAGAATCGTGACCTGCACGACGCTAAAAGAGTCGCGAGCTGTCAATAATGTGTCCTGCCGTGTGGATTCAGTGAGAAAAGGCTTGGTGCCACAAAAAGATGAAGAAGCAGACGCGTGGGTGCAGCGGTTTGTGTCTAGATTATCACCGGCGAGACCGATGACAGGCCACGTGTCATTCCGACTTGTGCGCGAGGAAACAACCACAAACGGTCATACCAACAGATTGGTAGCTATTGGATGTCGTGTTGGAGTATCGTTGCCGTATTTATGTCAGAGCTCAACGAAATGCGGGCATACAGCAACTATGGGGAAACTGTTGAATACGGTTTTAGACACCCGTGAGGCTTTGTTCGCCTTCTGGGACCCATTGCCTTATTGCGCATACTACCAATCAAGATTGCCCGAGGACCGCAGGCCGCCTCCGCCGGAGCCTTGCAAAACGCCACCAAACGTACCTCTCTGAGTTTCCACATGTGTGGAATAGGGAATATTTATTAAGACACTCAAGTACCTGAATAGTGCGTGAGTGAAGCTCTCTGACGCTGTGTATCGCGCTCTCTCCGTCTGTCATTCTCTCTCATAAACAAGTCGATAACCGAGGGTGACACTATGAGTCTGTAACTACTAAGTAGATATTATACGTACCAAATACTGTAATAAGCATATTGCTATGTTAGAGATAAAGAATAAAATCATGGTCGACCAATGTTCATCTTTTATTTTGTACATAACTTTGTTATGTTTACAAATGCATTTAAAACACGGGTTACTGGCCGAGAAATTGTTATCTTTGTTTCCATAAGATATATTCAAGTTTTAGTTGATAAAATATAGCTTTGGCAAGTTAGTGAAGCGTTCGTAATATTACTGAAAACATAAAATAAAAAAGTTAAACCAGCGTCACAGCCTAATCTCGGTTGTGGCATTATAATATTATCACATTACCAAAAATTGTATTATTTGAAATTTTTAATGTTTGTTTCATTGTTACTTTTTTCGGTTTATTCTTGTTTTACTGTTGTTTTTTTTACTATTTCTTTTTTATATTATTCTTTTTTATTCTATTAACTAATACATTTCTTAATTTCACATAATTATGTAATTAGGAGATTGTTTCGCCACGTTTTCTTTCACGATTCTAACCAACCTTTTTCACAATAACGTTTAAGATAAAATAATTGTTTTGACGTGATTTAAGATATTTATTTACTACAACAAGTCGACATGCCAAGGGGTTATAATATTAAGTTCCTGTTTACATTCCAAAGTTTAGAATACAATTAAAATGTTTTCAATAATAAGCTACAAAAATAGAATAAAAACTGTAAATAAGCATCGACTTGCTTTTGTTATGTATAAAGGCATTATATTGCCTTCATTTTGTAAATATAACCCATTACTAACAGTTTTTTATTCGATTTTTACCAGGACCATTAAATAATTAGATACTCAAAATTCAATCCACATGAATGAATAACAAAAATACTGCGTTGTGTATAACTATTGCATCAGTGATGAGTAAATCATACCTAATTGTTCATTGGTAAGAGTCTATTGAAAATGACAAACAATTTAGACTTGGCAGAAATAATGAAGAATGAGAATCGTGTTTAAGTATACGAGCAAGTAGATACAATTTCCAATAAAACAATGCTTAGACTTGACAGTTCATCTTTATTATATTTTAAATGCCTAAGAACTTTTTTGACAGCAATTAAACAAGACCCACCAGGGTCCACCAGGTCCCGCATAGAAACATTTGCGATGTTACTAAGAAAGTATACAGGTACCTGATATTGCTAAAACGTTGCCGTCAATGGCATAAAACTTTTCATCTTCTATGTCTGTGAATACACCTACAAGCCAACCTGATAAAAGGAGTTAATAAAGAAATGTGGTCATTTGGTTCTACGTTATTTTATAGATAGGGCGTTGAATATTGTAACTAACGAGTCATACATGGTACTTGAGTCACTTGTGTTACCAACCTAAACGTATCACTTCAAGTTAAATGTAAGTTGAAATTATTAAGTTTATGTAATATTCACTACCAGAATTGCCTACGATATCTTGTTTTGAAATAGAAGCGCTTCTATTATGAAACGTGTCGTTATTATTAGTGATTCGTGATCTCTCTTATTTCTTATCGCAAGAAGCATTCAGATTTGAATGCAACGCCACAAATCGCATGTTGACCTAGAGTCAGTTGTCTAGACGCAAAGCAAATAAACCATATGTTATGAACGTGAAAGCTCTGCGCTGTTTGTCCAGTTAACCCGATAAGAGCTGTTATTTTACCGTGCTCTTGAAGATAGCCTATCTCGTCCGGGTCAAAAAGACACCCACCGAACAAAGGTCGTACCTTTCTCGAGTGGAAAAATTGTTAATAACTAAAAATATATATGCACCTGTGGGTCTTTTTTAAATCATTCACTTACTCACGAAAATTTCGTTTAAGGTATCTTACACATCCGAAATTTTTCACTAAATGAATCTTTTTAGAGTAATGTAATTCAGGCTCTTGTGGGATAGATCCGAGAATTGATTATACCTTCTTCAAACTTTCGAAGGACTAGCAGTGAGACATATACAAAGGTAGATTATGTATATCAATGACTGTAAAGGATGGGGTGCACGAAAAAGTCTGTTCGCTTGACGTACCATTCCTTTCTTGTACATCTGGCGCGCCCTGGACTACAATCCGCGACTACCTTATGTCAAATCCTTGCACCACGATGGCAAGTATTACAGTATATGCTATCGATACGATAAGAAGAAGAATAAAAAAGTTGCTGATATTTTTTCCTATTTATATTTTTTAACGCACACACTCATATATAGAAAAAAAAACAAACGTAAAATCAATAACTAGTTCAATGTATGGAATTTTTGGTTTACAATTGTTTTACGTGAAATCAGAGTACATGAAACGACTGGGAATAAACCTAAATAAATACCTACCTATTGAATATACCGTATAATAATATAGCATCTATGTAATAAGTAGCAGTAGAACTCCTTGTGAAAGAGTTCGTCCGAGGTAGTACTTGCCACCTTACCTATTTCTGGCACCAAGCAGTAATGTGAGCATTACTGTGTTCCGGTTTGGAAGGATAAGGGTGCTGGTAAAATTACAGGCACATGGGACTTGTCAACTTATGTCTCAGGGTGACATGCGCAGTGGTAGTGCCCCTCAAATCTTTGCAATTTAAAGCTCTGAGTGGCACTGTAACTGTTATGCACAGGGGTGTAGCTTACCATCAGGCGCACGACTTTATCGTCCAGTCACTCAACGTTATAAAAAAAAATCTTTTTTTGAGGTTGTAGGGGAAATAAATACAAAATGACATATATGTACAAAATGACATAGTTGGCATAATTTGAAATTAGTGGACTCTAGCACGTAATTAATAACTGCATCATATGACCCAAGTGGCTTTTACTAACCTGTCATAACGTAAACTCACCCCTCTCACCCGTCCCAGCGTCGTCGCTGAAGACAGAGGTTTTGTACGTTACGAGTTTTTTCTTTACGACAAGTGTTTCTAACACCATGGTTCGTTAATTGTAAATTATGCAGGCTAGATACTGTTACAATATTTAGGCTACGTTCCGGACATTATCCGTCGAACAGGTTTGGGTACCTCATGAAAAAAACTGATTCACCAAATTGTGAATCTTGCAATAAAATTGAAGACGTTCAACACTTGTTGGCGGAATGTACCAAGGACGAAGGCCAGCGACACCTATTGTTGACTACATTACAACTAAACCGCTCCAACATTAGTTTTTTTCAAGGAATACTGTCAGAACCCTTATCCAATTACACGAAAATGTTGTGTGACATGGTAAATCATCGTTAGTTGTACGTGTAATAACTGTAATAAAATTTAGAACTGTATTAAAAAAAAAAAAAAAGAATGTGTAACAAATAGAATAAGGCTATGATAGGACTGGCATGTTCTCTAGAATAAAAGTCCTGAAACTAAATAAAGATTTAAAAAAAAAAAAAAAAAAAGTGTTTCTATATAAATGATAAGTTTTTCGCTAATGTAGCTGTTGTTGTTGTATTTATTTTATCCCACAATATTTTGTTGTTGCCCTCATATAAGATTTAAAAAAATGTGTGGTAATTTTTGAATTTCCTTTTTTAAAAGCGTTATATGGAGAAAAGACATATATACATAGACATAGGTTTGCCATTTTGTGCTTAAGCGCACAATAAAGGAGTTCAACTTAATTAACTTAATTTATTCATTATAATTTTCATTATAATAAAATACAACTTTCTTCAGCCCCAAAATGACATTTCATTAGTGGACAAGGGAAACGTAAACTAAAAACTCGGCAGATCTCGTATGTTTTAACTGCTACTCGTAATATTAGGGAAATTCATAACAAATTAAATCGAAAAACGAGCCCAAATCTCCCCCAGCAAAGAAGAGACTAAACGTCACTACAAAGTTGTTTGAAGATGACAGCGAAGAAGAAAATTTTCCTTGCAATCTTCGAGTTAACGAAGAGGACTGCCCTTGCATATATTGCAACGATCTTTTTTCTCGACTTAAGCCCTGAAAAGACTGGGTACGATGATGCTTAAATTGTTCGTATTGGGTTCACGCTTCTTGCCCTGATGTTCCTAGAAGAACAAAGCGTTTTATTTGTAAATTTGCCAATAATTGTATAGTTTTCACGTGTATGTCACTTGGTCCATATGTACTATATCCATTTACAATGGACAAAATGGTTTTTGATGGATCTCAGAGTTAAACTACGAATATTTTTTTCCTGTTGTTTTTATTTCACAAATGTTTGTTACTTTTAGTAAATAATGAACCAAAGACTATTGGTGTAAAATATGACTGTGCTATGTATTACCACTACAGAATTATGACTAAAAAATAATATACCATGTGATTTTGTACGTATTTCCCCTACTATAATTCTTATTTCTAACATTTATGCGTCGTAAACTTCCCGATGCAAATTTTAATATTGTATAATGCTATTGTGCTTTGTCTGTTTCGTAACATGAGCACTAAATTCGCGGTTTGCAACGTATAAGTATAGTAATACTAATATGCTTTTGTGGTCGGATTTAATATTAATGAAAGATTTGTAATATTCTGTGGGACAATCGGTTCTTAATGCTATTGTTTACTAAGGTCTAGTACTGGAGTTATAGTTGGGAAAAATAAAAACATAATAGTATATAGGAATAGAATAATAGTATATAATATGATAGTAATACAACGGTAAATCAATCCTAAGAGAGATAGAAAGACTAAGTAGTGATAGATCTATTGTATGGACACTTAATGTAAAGCAGAGTTACAAATACCTTTTATAACACCTTGAGGTCTTATATAGGGCTTTTGAAGTTAGAAGTGTTTGCGCTTTAAGTGGTATATCGTATATTTCTGAGGACTTGAGCTGTTAAATAGATTTATATTACAGGTTTTGAAATGCTATATCTACAGCAGAAAAATATATTTCTAAAATAGCGCTTAGACCGTTTGAGATTTCTACAGCCACTT